CAGTGTGTGTGTGTGTGTGTGTGTGTGTGTGTGTGTGTGTGTGTTAAAAAGCAAAAATAATATCGAGGGAATTTTAGGAGGTAGAGTGGGTTAACCCAGGTCATTTTGCATGAACACAGGTGATGAAGTATTATAATATTATTAGGCTTAGCTTGAGCATCCATGCATGCGTGCGTGTATAAATTGTGAGCGAGTGCAGGTATATGTACATGGGTCGTTCAAAAAGTTTTGCCTCCAAGTTCATAATTTCTTTATTACTGATGCTACATACAAAAGTTGTACACCAAATAAAAGCTTAGGATGTCTGCTACATGACAGTACCTTTACTTTTCAACACAGTCGCCTTCTTCGTCGATGCAGATCCGCCAACGTAGAACAAGTTGTCGCTTGCTGTCGGCGAAAAATTCATGTGGTTTTCCTCTAAACCAGCGACGCACATCTTCTTGAATTTCATAGTCATCTGCATAATGTTTGCCTTTGAGGTACATCTTAAAATTAGGAAAAGGATAAAAGTCAGATGGAGCAAGGTCTGGACTGTATGATGGGTGCGGTAAGGTCTCTTGAAATTTGAGACTTTTCGTGGCATCATGAGTTTATCGACTCGTGTGTGGACGGGCGTTGTCATGGTGCAAAATTGCATTTTTTTTCTGGTCGAACTCGTGACAGCCGTACTCTAAGTTTTCTCAGGGTCTCAATATATCGTTCAGAGTTGATAAAGGAACCCTGTTCCAAAAATTCCATATGAATCAGACCATCGCCGCCCCAAAACACTGTCATAAGCACTTTCTTTGCAGATGAAACAACTTTGAACTTCTTGGGGTTAGGTGAGCCAGTGTGCCTGTATTCTTTCGAGTGTCTTTTGTTCTCTGGGTCATAATGGTGTACACAAGTCTGGTCTCCTGTGACTATACAGAGTAAGAAAGCTTCATCTTCATCAGTATAACGAGCCAGGAGTTCATCACTAACTTGACTTCGGTTCAATTTCAGCTCGGATGACAACATGTGAGGAACCCACCGTGCACACACTTTTCTGAACCCTACACATCATGGACAATATACTGAGCACTCCCTACAGAAATCCCTAGCATTTCATTGACATCTCTTACTTTGATCCACCGGTTTGCTTGGATGATCTCATCCACTCTCTTCTGGTGTTGAACATCACTGTCAGAGTTGGGAGGACCACAACGAGCTTGGTTAGGCAAATCTGTCTCTGCAGGACTGGTTTCATCGAACTCCATTGCCCATCTTCGAACAGTACTTACATCCACACATGCTTCACCATAGACAAGCTTCATTCGCCTATGAATACAAATGGGTGCAGCTCCCTCTGCAGTAAGGAACTCAATAACAGCTCTTTGCTTTAAGCGCGCATTTTCTCGGCCACAACGTGCCTTAGCTTCCATGATGTAAACAGTAATAGCATAAAGGTGACATCATAGCATAATTGTTTGGCATATTGAGGAAAACGCCTTTTTCAAAAACCGTGTACATGACTTGGAAGTTAGATCTAATAATAAATGCCCTCCATTGAAGGGAAGCTGAAGGACCTCCGAACTTTTACGGCTCTAGACTGATAATTGGGTAGTGTTACATCTTTGATTGAGACTCAAAGAGAGATTATAATAAAATATATGTATCTAAATTAATAATGCGAAAGAAGGAACGAGGATAAGCCTTTAAACCTGTAATATAATTCCTCATTTTGAAATTTTGCTTAGACGATGTGATGCTCTGGCTTACGAAGATGAATAACCTGGGGAAAAGTTTGAGATTCTTTCTGATTTTATTTCATTTATTTATTTTTAGGGACCCTTATTTTTAATAGTTTAGTAAAACAATTGTCTAGTACTACCTTGATTACTTTTGTCTCAGTCGGTGCCAAATGGGGTACCGAGCTGCTCAACCTTGGAAACAATATATATTGTGTAGATTAAGGCGTTAAATGCCAAAATTGTAAAGAACAACAACAACAACAACAACAACAACAACAACAACAGCAACAACAACAACAACAACTGCGACAAAAACAGCAACAACGACGACGATGACGAGAACAAAAACAACAACGACAGCAGCAGCAATAAAAAACAACAACAACAATAATTAATAACAACAACAACAACAGCAACAAAATAATAATAATTCATCTCTGTTCCCGCCTGCTCCTTAAACTTCTTTTCGGTGTTTCTATTATCCTTGTGAGTTCCTCGTGAAAGTAAGTCATTATCGCAATTACTCTTAGTAAAGTACAACTCAGTGTCTTTTCGTTTCGCTGTAACTCTCAATAAAGTACAAATCTGTACGTTCTCTCGTTTCAGGAAATGACGTGTAGCTATGGCGTCATCATCATGGCGGTGTTCTGGATCACGGAAGCGTTGCCCATTCCAGTCACCGCCTTCTGCTCTGTCATCGTCTTTCCCATCACGGGCATCATCACATCGAAGGATATTGCACGCGTATTCTTCCAGCAGAACACCACGTTTATAATGGTCACCTTATGCTTCGCCCTGGCTGTGGAGAAGTGCGGTCTGCACACGCGAGTGGCGCTCTTCACACTCAAACAGGTCGGAACCAGTCCAAGAAGACTCCTCCTGGGTTTCATGTTGCCCACCTGGTTTCTCTCTATGTGGATCAGCAACACGTCTACCACTGCCATGATGATGCCTATTGTTCTCAGCGTCATCGAGGAAATGAAATATTTTAGGATTGATGTTAGCGAACAGGGAGGTGATCAGTTTTCCAAAAAGAAGAATTCGTCATTTGATATTGCAGACGCATCCCAAAGTGGTGATGCAGTCGGAGAAAATGAACGTCCTTTGCTTAAATACGACGATATTGAAGAAACTTCTACAATCAAGATATCAAGAAGAGTAGATTCGGACAAGGTGAATAAAAGACAAGAGAAAAAAGCATTTGAAAGTATGTGTACAGCTTTCGTCTTGAGTATTTGTTACTCGTCATCTGTCGGAGGTGGGGCTTCTCTCACTGGTACACTTCCAAATATTATCATGGCCAGCCAGGCAGATGAGATTTTTGCTTCTTATGGCCTGGAATCGAATGTTAACTTTCTCACGTGGTTTGTAGTGGGCTTGCCAATTTCTGTGGTGAACTTAATCGTTACGTGGTCCTGGTTATCCCTCCGCTTTTTTGGGGTGAGAAGTTTATTTCACAATCAAACTCCAACAGAGAAGGAGAACAGGAAAGCAATCGCTGATAGGATAACAGAGAAATTTGATTCACTGGGACCGATGACATTTGCAGAGATCGCAGTTTGTGCATTTTTCTTGACACTCGTATCATTGTGGTTGTCCATCAAAACTCCCAACGGTGGAGGATGGGGTGCGCTGTTCACACCAGGATATGTCACGACGGCCACTGTGGGTGTTATTATTATTGCTATAATGTTTCTCTTCCCCTCCGAGTGCCCAACATTCCTGAGAAACAACAAGAACGACAAAGATAAACTTCTGCAGACATCCCGTCGCATTTTTCGCGGTGGCGCTCTGTTGGATTGGAAGATGGTGCAAGAACGACTTCCCTGGGGTGTTCTCATGCTCATGGGAGGCGGTCTGGTCATTGCTAAAAGTGCACAAGTGTCGGGTCTGTCCAAATGGATCGGTGTACGGTTAGAGGTTTTCTCCAGCCTCCCACCCTGGCTCTGTGCAGCAATAATGTCCTTAGTGATCTCCTTTATGACAGAGATTTCTAATGGATCAACGGTCGCTAGCATTATTTGCCCCATCCTCGGCCGTCTGGCTCAGACATTGGGGGTACACCCTCTGCTCTTCCTTTTCCCGGGTACTATGGCATGCTCGTATGCTTTCATGCTACCAGTGGCCTGTGCCCCCAACAACATAGCCTACTCCACGGGTCTCGTGCCTTCTCGGGTCATGATGACCACGGGTTTTGTACTGGATATCCTCTGCGTGCTGGTATTGAACACTGGTATCAACACATACACAACATCCTACCTAGATCTGACCAGCAGTCCATTCAACGCCACTCTCGCAACAGCCTTGACCTCTGTGGAGGGGAACAGTAGCGCCCTGACAGTCTAGGAGGAGTAAGGTTGTCAGATGTCTGTTCTGTACATTATGTATTTATTCTCGTAACACATCTGCCATGATATATAAGCAATAGATCTATGATTCACAATTTCTTATAAATGCTGCAACTCAAGACACCGACTTTTAATTAACTGTATCCAATGACACACATTATTCAAGAGCGTTTGCTTTTCATAATGAAACAATGAGCTGTTTTATGAAAAGATTTGATAGTGATTTGCTGTTTAAGTTTTTCTAAGATATGGTATCATGTATATACGTGGAAAGACATAGCGTGCTAGTGTTCTCATTAAAGGGTCCGGTCTCGATGGCATTTACACGAAACAAACGTCCTGAAAACAAATCGACGTGGAAAGGAAAGCCCCTCGCGGTCGGAATGCGAGGCCCCACAGTTCAAAATTGACACTCCTGCATTCGAGAAAGCTTTCCAAAAAGATTGGTGATTAAATACCGTCTTTTTATTGGCGGAGAACTATACAGCTTTGAGCGGGGTTTCCCCGTGGTTATTGTTTTTGGCCTTTGGCGTTTAGATAGAAAACCTTGAAAAAAAGGGTTTAAGTTTTCAAAGATCATTTTTAAAACGAAATGTGTAAAACACCGGCTGAAAAAAGGTACCAATAGAAAGAACAGTTCTTTTTCTATTCGAATAAAGTCATTGGCTTTGAACCATTTTGCATGAATCCTTCTGCGAAATTACCGGGAGCACTCAGTATACTACAGTATTGAGCAGGCTCGCTCGCCGCGAAGGCTGGTGCGACGCCGGCCGAGACAACGCTCGGTGTGTTTATTGAAATAACGACAGATCATCGTGTTTGAGGCAATAAAATACTGACTTGTAATTATCTCAGTCTTGAAAAGTATCAGGCTTCATTTCTATGTTATAGTTATAGTGATTGTACTCTTTTTATGTAGAGATGTTTGGTGCACTTGGTACTCTTTTACTATCTGTCTGTTAAACATTTTATTATTATGTTAGATTGAAACAGCTGCCATTCTCTTAAAACATTGACTGAGAGGTAAAAGTATGGTACCAAATTTCTCAGGAGACATAGGCCTTTTATATGAAACAGATGAATTTGACATACAGCTACTTTGAAAATTTAGTGTCTGGTACCTAGTATAATGCTAATATTTTGTTGCATTTGACGTGAAGTCCATTCCCGTTAAAATTTTGTTTGGTCCATAAGTGTTTTTCTCTATGAAGGAATGAATTCTACTTTTGTATGATACTTTGTAGTGGCATAGCCAAGATAACTGCCAAATTTCAAGTCTCTTTCTCAATTCTAAGACCCCCATAGCTATGGAAACATGTTGCTCAACTTCGAAGGCCATTATCCCCTTTTCGTGTTTTCTCACCTTGCACAATTAAAACTTCTGTATTTTCGTCAAATAATGTCACATTTACTTCATTCTTGTTTTATATTGTAGGGGAAAGATGATAGTTTTTGAAAATAATGTTAGCTCAGTTTTGAAATTTCCTTCATATGACTGATATTGACCGGCAGGGACACATTTGTGATTCATACTCTGCACAGAGAGCTAATAGTTGTTCCCCATTATAGTTACAATCTAAACTGGTGTCACCGTGTGGTCTAAGGTAGTTTTCCCATGGTGTCCTTCTTGGGTCTACGTGTCTATTGAAGTCTCCCATTATGATTAGTTCCTCCTCATCAGGTACGGTGCCTATGGTGTCCTCCAACTTCAGAAAAAAATTCTTCTTTATCTTCCCTTGAGTATGTGTCGTTACAAGGGGCGTAAGCGTGGATGACAGTTTCACTTTTTTGATTTTCAAGATCCTTTCTGATATTAATTCTTTTCTTACTCTTTCTGCCGTGTCAGGTTGTATTATGAATCCCACGCCATGATTCTCTCTCTCTCTCTCTCTCATTTTATCTACTCCACTCCATATTAGTATGAAATTTCCATGTATTTTCTGGGTCCTGCCACCCTTTAAACGGCAACGGCAAACAGACAGCCCAAGTATTGTTATTCTCCACCTTTTCATGAAAGTACTGTACGGCAAACAGACAGTCCAAGTATTGTTATTCTCCACCTTTTCATGAAAGTACTGTACGGCAAACAGACAGTCCAAGTATTGTTATTCTCCACCTTTTCATGAAAGTACTGTACGGCAA